ATGCAAAGGTATGAGCTTTCAGTGAATTTTAAAAAACCTAAAAGTCAAAGGGAAAATTATAAAGCCAATAGAAATTAAAAGCAGAAGAATAGCTTTGGAATCCTAGGATAGGAAAATGCTTCTTCTTAAGTAAGACTCTAAAAGCATAAACTATAAAACCAAAACAATGATAAACCGTGCTACATCAAAATTAGAGTTTTCTGTTCAACAGAGAACATCAAAAATAAGTCAAGATAAAATTGATAGATTGAGAGGTATTCCCAAAGGTTAAAACCAACAAGAGATTAATATCTAGAATATTCTAGGAATTCCTGCAAATCATTGAGGAAAAACACACACACACAAACAACCAACCAAACAAACAAACAAAAAACCCACAGGAAACATAACAGAACAATAGCCAAAGAATATGAACAGGCAAATTTTCAGAAGGGAAACTTGAGAAACTAACAAGTAGGTGAAGAGATATACAGATAAAAGCATATTAATACCATAAGACACTTTTTTACATGTATTAAACAGGCAAAAATGTGAAAGATGGTTAACACCCAGTGTTGGCTAGGCTGGGAAGAAGCCATTGCTGTTAGAACTTAAGTCCAGGTCATTTTGGAGTTGCTTGTAGCATGTATTTTCCTGATGGCCCAGCAATTCCACTCCTGGGAATATGCACCTCTAAGAAACTCTTGCATAAGCCCATAACAGGACGCGATTGAGGATACTCATCACAGCAGCATTTGAGATAGCAGCATATTATATGCAAACTTAGTACACATCACCTGTAAAATGGTAAGAAAAACAGTGAATACTCTGGAATAACATGCAGCTGTTGGAAGTAATGCACTAAATGTACATCTTGCAACATGGATAAATCTTTAAAAGATGTTATAACTGGCCCTAACCGGTTTGGCTCAGTGGGTAGAGCGTCGACCTGAGGACTGAAGGGTCCCAGGTTCGATTCCAGCCAAGGGCATGTAACTTGGTTGCAGGCACATCCCCAGTAGGGGAGTGTGCAGGAGGCAGCTGATCGATGTTTCTAACTCTCTATCCCTCTCCTTCCTCTCTGTAAAAAAAATCAATAAAATATGTTTGTTTGTTTTTTTAAAAAAAGGAAGATATCTCTTTAAAAAAAAAGATGTTATAACTGAAAAAAAGGTAAGAAAGAAAACAAGATCATGTAAGTCCCAGGGATGTTTCGTTATAGGATGTATCAATATGTTTTTCATTTCTGCTCTTAATCTGGGGCACTCAGAGGGGAGGTACGGAAGGTGCTGTTACGACTCACTTCTGACTCAAATATTTTCTTCCCGTTTTCACATGAAGTTGTGGCAGGCTTTCATGCAGGCCCTCCCTCCACATCCCACATTTACTCCTTCTCCAGGCTCATGGTTTCTCCCACCATGGCATGCCCTGTCACCCCCCTGCTCCCCCATACGTGTTGAATATACATTTATCTGGTTATAAGTTTCCTTCTCAGGCTGGGTGGGAGATGAGTGTTGGCTCTCGAGGAGGGGGCTGCACAGTCAGAGATGTAAAATATAATCTTGCCACTATGCCACTCACACCTGCCTACATCCCCATTTCCAAGTGAGAAACACCCAAACATCTCTGGATCTTAGAAAGCTTTATTTCAAGACTGACCTAAAAATGTGTTTGCTTATGTATTTTTATATACCTTCTAGGGTGCTATCGGTGCTAATAATAACCATAAGGATGATATAACAGTAATTGTAATATGAGCTTTGTGTCAATAAGCAGGAGACACTGAGGCCTTTTAAAGTTGACAGAGAGGGACGTGTTGGAAAAAACATAACTAGCTGTAGAGGCTTAGGACATGTATCAGAGATAGATCCCTGAAATCAGGGTTGATAAGCAAGTAAAGGAGTTACCAGAAGGTATGGGGATAGATAGATGAGTTAGGGGGCTTTCTAACCTAAAGACTGGAATACATGCGATGGCTCTTGAAATTTCTCCCAGCCCTGTCAGGTTATGAATCTCTACACAATTGTTTCCCACAAAGGTACACTGAAAATAGCCTCTGCTTGGATTATACTGCCTTAAAAGCCTGTCTCTACCCAAAGCATTCCTTAATGGCTCATTACTAGCATATGAAATTCTGACCCTTAGTAATGGCTATGATTGCATGGTGCTCAAACTCACATATGCAGGAGCTTGCCTGAACCCAGGTAGGGAGCTCTGCAGGGTAGCAAATGAGGACCAGCTGCCCACACCCCTTCCTGGGGGGACTGAGCAACAGCTGCAGGCTCCTCTCCGAATAGCTTTGGGTCCCTGGTTTCTGCAGAAGCCAGAATGTGAGCCTGCAAAGATAACTGTTCTCAGGATCGCATATCTTATGATCCCACTTAGGGTCTGTAATGCTCATCACTAGCTCCCCAAATTGGAGCATTAATGTTAGCTTGCATCTCTTACATAACACTAACCCTAAAAGGTCTAATAATTTATTCATCTGTAGTTTCTGTAACTCCTGGGAGCTGTGTGATCCCATTATTCTGTATTTGTTGAACACTTTCTGAGTTCTAGACAGTCTTGGGAGATGTAAATGGAAAAGTAGATTGAGCCCAGATTATAGAACCTTAAACGCCTGGTTAAGAGTGTCAATTTATAGGATAAGGCAGTAGGGAGCCTTCGAAGGTGTTTGAGAACTGGAATAGCATGATGAAAAGAGTGTTTTAAATTTAATTGAGCAAAAACTCTGGGAAAAGGACAAACAACCAGTAAGTCCTATTATAGGAAAGCCTCTCTGGTAAGCGTAGGGGAAAGAGAGTCCTTGCCTTCCAATAATTTGTAGCTGCTAGGCGTTGTTCTGTGTCTGTTTTTAATACGGGGGTAGCATTTTGAGGTATTAGCCAGTGTAGTTTCCCTGTATTTCCTATACCCGCGTCCATTTCCTCAGGGTATGTACATGCACAGAAGAGATTTGGGTCAACTCCTGACTTTCTGGTCTCAAAATGGACTTGAAGAACTCCCAGCAGACACTAGCTCTAGAGAAAGGCCCAAGTTTTCATAAGCTACAAGGCTACATGAAAGCATAGATTTGGAAGCACAATTTGTGGGGCCCAGAAAAAAAGTGTTGTTAAACGTACTAGAATATAGATGTTTTCCCTTTCTTCTACAGTTTTTATCTCAACTTGCGTTGGTTTTCAAAATCTGTTATTTAATGTTATTAAGCAAAAATTGAAATTATTAGCCTGAATTTTATTGTTCATTTTTGTATCGTGCAATACCAGTTTTAAATGCAAATATAACAGCATGTAACTTCTAAGCAGAATCACTGAAATTATGCAATTTATATCTTGTATTTTATTCTTACCCCAGTGGGACAATGAAAATGCTGCACAAAACTAACTCAACCCTTTGTCTTTTTCACTTCTTAATATGTGCCTTCTACCAACACTCTTCCTGCCCTTTACTGATGACTAAGGAAGGGCTGAAAGGGAAAGGAACTATGGGGTGCCCTACATTTCCCTTTCCTTCCGTGTCTTCATTTTAGCATGTGGTTGGCTAATAGAGGGAAGTACCCGAGGTGAGAAAGGCTATGATAAGATTCCTGGGCTGCTCATGTGTTTAGAATCCCATTGCCCCTTTTCTGTGTTCAAACAAGTCCTGGTTTGAAGGAAAGCATGACCCCTCAGGGTTGTCAGCGCCCCCACTTAATCAAAGATGAAACACACATCTTGCTGAACTCCCAGGACCGTGGGACATCCAGAATTCTGCGCTCACGGGGCAGCAGGAGCAGCAGAACTACATTCCTCTGCTCATGCTCCACTGTCCCACTGGATCGCTGAACTCCCAGGACCGTGGGACATCCAGAATTCTGCACTCACGGGGCAGCAGGAGCAGCAGAACTACATAGCACCGCATACTCTTCTGCTCATGCTCCACTGTCCCACTGGATTTCACAATAAAACATGCTGAATGCAAATCTTTGACAATCAGCCAGGTGAAGAGGTATAGTGAAGAAACAATCCTGTAAGTCAATAACAACAACACAATACTCCTGTGGAATTGCCACAGGGGAGGGCAATCCAGGTTGTAAGGAGCCCATATCTTCCATGGTGGCATTTATGGCTCTAAGATCTTGCAAAAGTCTCCACTTGCCTGATTTCTTTCTTATTACAAATATGGGTGTGGTCCAGGGACTATTTGATGGCTCTATATGTCCCTCTGCTAATTGCTGATCAATTAATTGTCGGGCTGCTGAAATCTTGGCCCTTAATCATTCTAGCCACTAAATATACTCCTACAGGATGCTTATGGCAGGAAAGGCCATTAGAATGGATACATTTACCTGTCACTCCTAGGAAGATTGCAATATCCTATCCCTCCCTAGTGGCCACTCTCATTATCAAAGGTAGACGACGCAGTATCGAACTCTTTGGAAGAGAAGTTACTGAGATAATAATACCTTATAAAAGAGAACCTGGCTATGCTGATGATCTAACCGCTGTCTCCGTGTCATTCCTTCTTCGCCGATTCCATCCACACCTTTGGGACCCCCTGGACCTGCTGGGGCTGGACCCGAACAAAAACATAGATTCAGAAATAAAACCAAGACTTGAGATAGCACAGTAGCAGAGTGCCCTTCTGATTCCAGGTGCTGTGCAGTGTACAGGGGACCCTGTTTGAAAGCTGGATGGAGGGCCAGGATGCCCTGCCGTGGACAAGTGAATGATGCTCTAGACCGGGGGTGGGAGGGAGAGCCAGAATTCTAAATACGAACGTGTCTCTGAGAAAGGGGACTGAGTCTTGCTCCTCTGCCCACTCTTCCACCTCCTCACCAGGTCACACCCAGAACCCACTTCCAAAGTTTTATGTCATCTCTTGAGAACTTGGAAACTTACAAAGAAAAAAATTAAACTATATATCATCTTGCTGTCCAGAGAGAGCCACTATTAAAATTTTGGTCTATATGTGTACAAAATTTAGAAATGTATAATCATATATGGTAAACAGTTCTCATGCCACTTCATATGCTTCTAGAACACAGTTTTAAATGTAACTTCACATTTTTTTTTGGTGAACATTTGGTGGGATTTTGCACAATGAATTCTGGAGGGAAGAATCTATCAGCAGGGAGCCTGGTCAGGAAATAAATGCAAGAATTCAAGCGGGGGATCTGGGCTGGAGGTCGGCAATAGGGAGAGAGAGAAGGGGCCTGGAGGAGGCTCAAAATAGAATGTTGAGTGAAAAACGCAAGTCATCAAAGAGTCCATCTATTTATAGTTCGAAAGGCAGAGAAAATGAAACGCGATGTTATACAGGAATACATACATAACCATTGCAACTATAAAGTAAAACATGATTCTGAAAAGTATTCCTGAGGCGAAGCCAGGGAGGCGAAGGTGCTGAGAAATGGGCACTCGGGGGTTTCTAAGGCCCTGGGGATGTTCTATTTCTTTTTAAATGTATTTTTGTTGATTTCAGAGAGGAAGGGAGAGGGAGAGAGAGATAGAAACATCAATGATGAGACAGAATCGTTGATTGGCTGCCTCCTGCATGCTCCTCACTGGGGATCAAGCCTGCAACTTGGACAGGTGTGACCTCCTGGTTCATAGGTTGATGCTCAACCACTGAGCCACATGATGTTCTATTTCTTAAGCCTGGTGGTAGATGCATGTGTGTTCAATTTATTATTTTTTTCAGCATGGTGCACTTTCATTTTATATATTCTTTTGTATAATATGATATAGGCTAGTATATCTTAAGCCAATTCCAAAAGATCAGGTTTTCCCCAACCTCACTCTTCTGTATCCTGAGGCTTTGCCAGACAGGTTATACAAACTGGGCTCTTCCCCCAAGCATCCCCTCCCTCCCCAACTGCTTCACGATGCACATAATTTAATCTTGTTCTTAAGTAGCTATCCGGAGTATATTTATCTGAAAGTGTCATTTCTGAGCTGAGACCAGCAGCAATGCAAGCATACACCAGAACGTGAATACGCAGACACACGAATGTACGAAGGTCTAATCATGCAGGGACGAGCATGGCCACGGGCTGGAAAAGCTTTCTGCTCTGAAAGTGCCTGCCTTGCCGCATGAGTAGCAGGCGCACAGCATGCTTTTCCAAACCAAATCTAAGATGTTGAAGGGAGAAGGAGTGGGCAAGTGCCTCACAGGGTCCTCTTTATGGTGTGGCAAGATCATCAAGGACAATTACATGGCGATCTCTCCATTCCTGTAGTAGACATGCTACAGAAGATACTTTCAGCAGGCTCACAAACCTTTTTTATCCTAATAGTATACACATATTTTATTCTAAAATGCATACTACATATATCATTGACACCTAAAAGCCGTGACTATTGTTTAGAGCTAAGCTAAGCTAAAGGAGAGAGCAGCCCTAACCGGTTTGGCTCAGTGGATAGAGCACTGGACTGCGGACTGAATGGTCCCAGGTTCGATTCCGGTCAAGGGCATGTAGCTTGGTTGCGGGCACATCCCCAGTAGGGAGTGTGCAGAAGGCAGCTGAATCGATGTTTCTCTCTCATCGATGTTTCTAGCTCTCTATCCCTCTTTCTCTCCCTTCCTCTCTGTAAAATATAAGTAAAATATATTTAAGTAAATAAATAAATAAATAAAGTAGAGAGTAAAGTTAGCTTAGATTAATGTTTCTTAAAAACTCTCTATGAATGATAGTATACCTGGCACTATACTATTATGAAAAGTGGTTCACTTTTCATGAAAATGGTTTATGAAAGTGGTTACAAAAGTCCTTTTTGGTTCTTAAGAAAGTGGAATATGGGCTATGGGCAGCCCTATCCTATGACCCCAAACACAACATGTCATGTTGGCGACCACTGCAAACCTCTCTTTCCAATAGTAATTCTATTTTGAGTCCTTTTTATCTGCCAGGCTCTCCATACATTAGCCCATACACCCGTAAACTCTTGCCATTTCTGTTTGTTCTCAGATATCCTTCCTCGTCTTCATTATCTTCTTCATCACAAGGCATTGGTTGCTGGGCCCTCAAAGGAAACCACCCGGGCAACATCAATCCTACACTCATTCCTGTTGTTCCTCTGAAGAGTAACAACATACACTTACATGAGTGTATGTAAGAAATACCGACATCACTTTGCAGTATGGAAGTGTGTCAAATCAACACATTGTACACCTTAAACTTATACAATGTTATATGTCAAGTACTTCTCAATAAAGCTGGGAAAAAACCTACAATGGAAATGAAAATATAAATAACTTGGCTCACTTCTGGTATTACTCCCTAGTGCACACCCTTTGTCTACCCCACTGCCTCTGCCTCTGTTGTTGTTTTTTCCACTTTGTAACGGAGGCAGAAGTACTCTGAGCACACTGAAATATTTTGAAATCTACCCACTTGATCTCTCACATAGAAAGTCATTGTAGGCAATATGAATTCTGATAAACAAGACTTTAAGTGATAGAATGGTGCAAAAATAAAATGGATGAGTTATAAGTCTCTACATAATTATTTTATAATAGTTACTCAATTGACCTTTAACTCTGCCACTACTCCCATTCATAACATATCACAAGCACAGAGAACAAAAATCAACAACAGAGTGCCATCTTTAAAAATGATGGTAATAAAGTTCTAGCAACCTCTGGGCAAAGCATTTCTATGATGATTCATAGATCAGGTAGAGCAAGGTTAAAAGAATACTGAGGATAAAAGCTTAGCTTAGTTTTGTTTTGTTTCATCACAGTAAAATTCTCTAAAATGACAATAATCCCAAACATAGAACTGCCATAAATGAAAGAGAGATCTATCATATGTGAATAAATTTAGAAAGAAATTTAAAGGTATTTTTAATTTAAAATATTTTAATGGATGATGAATGCTATTGGAACAAAATTCAAAGATACAAGAGGATACATAATAAAAAATAAGTTCTTGTCCCATCCCAGCCTCCCAGTTACCTCCCAAAAGGCAAATATTATTACCAGTTTCATAAATATTCCCATATATATGTGTGTGTGTGATATATACATGTTAATATATGCAGTATATTTATTTTTATAATATAAATTATAATGTTTTATAATGTTTATGCATCTTTCTTTTTTCACTACCTTAATCTCCTTCAAGCTTGGGTTGGGCAGCGTGGCTCAGTGAGTATCGACCTATGAACCACGAGGTCACAGTTGGATTCCAGGTCGGTCGGGTTCCCCAGTGTGGGGAGTGCAGGAGGCAGCCAATCAATGATTCTCTCTCATTACTGATGTTCCTATCTCTCTCTCCCTCTCCTTTTCTCTCTGAACTCAATAAAAATGGTTTTTTTTAAAAGACTGTAATAGTTAATCTTATAGACGTACCATAACTACAGAACATTTATATTGTTTCTAACCTTTTGTTCATACAAACACTATGACAACCAATGACTTCATGTGTATAATGTAACTGATAGACTCCCAAGAGAGAAATTGCCGGGTCCAAGGGCATGTGCATTGAAAACTGTGATGGTGCCCTGGCCGGTTTGGCTCAGTGAATGGAGTGTTGGCCTGTGGACTGAAGGGTCTCAGGTTCCATTCTAGTCAAGTGCACGTACCTCGACTGCAGGCTCGATTCCCACCCGGTCAGGGGTACATGTGGGAGACAACCAGTCGATGTGTCTCTCTCACATCAATGCTTCTCTCTCTCTCTCTCTCTCTCTCTCTCTCTCTCTCTCCCTTCCTCTCTTTTAAAGAAAAAAAAATTAATAAAAATGTGATGGCTATTGCCAAATTGCCTTTCATGGGGATCCCAGCATCAAATGGGTATTTTATAATGCACTATAACAATTGCTATTGTGGTTGTTCTTTAACTTTATTAAGTACTTATACAGTACAAGGGCATAGCACTCTCCACGGTAAAACCATGTCATAATACTATTATTACAGACACCCCTCACTTTATAGGCTAGATGTTAGCAAGAATATCACGTTAGATATTACCCTGCCTGCCTCTTGTGGTCTTAGAATTACCTGCATGGTGACCAAGCTGTGGCTTCGCTAGGCCTTCAAAAAACAGGCCTACACAAAGCCCAGAGGATTTTTAGGGCAGTGAAAATGCTTTGGATGATATTATAAAGACGAGCATATATTATTAAACATTTGTCCAAGCTTATAGACTGTACATACCAAGAGTGAACCCTTAAGTAAGCCATAGACTTTGAGTGATTATGATGTGTCAGGGTAGGCTCATCCTTGGTGTGTTTTGGTTTTTTTAAAAAAGGTACCGTTTTGGTGAATGATGTTGAAAATGGGGGAGGCTATGCATGTGTGAGGGCAGAGGGTATATGGGAAATCTCTGTACATCCTTCTCAATTTTGTTGTAAACTTAAACTTGCTCTGAAAGATAAAGTCTTTTTTGAAAGGCTTATATCTATATATGCATATCCTTTTCCTTAATAAATCTAAAGGGCAGTACTTCTTTGATCGACTCTGGAGTTTATAAAGTGAAACTGAATAGAAACCAAGATGAAAGATAGTCATCAAGGCTTCCTCTTTAGCATTGACTAGCAACTAAATTATGAGAAATAAATTACAGTTTTGAAAAATTCCCTGTTTTAATTACTGCAAATGTTAATGTGACTAGGTAAGAATTATTTTTAATCACCTATAATTACATGGATAGTGTACATCTAAAAGCACAAAGTCGTATCAAAAGCCACAATTTAAAAAAAGCCCCAAGACAAACTTTGCTTTTGTTTGAAACGTGCTGTATTTCCCCTTTATATGCTCTCAATGTGTACGGTTAGAATGGCTGGTTTGTAGCAAATACAGCAAGCCAGCTAGAAACATCTTCCCCCCGCGTTCAGTGGGTTTGCGTCTTACCCAGTTTGAGCAAATTCTTGGCGAATATTTCATGAACTCACAAGAGACTAAGAATTTATTTGACATGTTTAGGAGATGTAAAACAAACTCGTGTACGTTTTTCAGCTTTAGAAAATTGGGGAATTCCCTGTGCCAGAGAGAGCTCCCAGACCGGCAGTGCATGCAGCCGTTGAAATCGTTCAGCACAAAACAGAATTCCC